AAAATAATATATTGTGTGTTCTCACACTAATATGCACTAATAAAAAAAACAAAAAAAAACGGGTAGTTCAGATTTGTTTTTTTAAATTTGTTTTCCTTCATGGAAATCATTCTCTTTGGACTGGCTTTGCTGATTTCAAAACAGTGTTTAACCTATTCAATACCAGTTCCCTCTTTGCATCACAAATGCACAAAATGGTCCTGTTTATATTCTGCATTGGGTAAAAACTGAAAATTTACTCAAATTTTGTATGTTGGCTCCAAAATTAGTGTTCATTTTAAGAAATATTGAAGAATAGAAGAAAAAAGAACCAACAAATTTGTGCCAGAAAGTCTGGTGTTGAAAAGGTTTATAATGTTTTCAATTTGAACAAAATACTGGATTATAAAATCAGTTTCATTCAAATCTCATCAAAATTTTGTGTTATTTTAATGTTTTGACCTCTGTGCGTCAAAAATTGATTTGTAAAAATTTGATGAACACTTTCACTTCCATAGTAACTATTAACTTTTTATTAGTCCCCGTTCGGACGCAGTCTGAAAACGGGGACTTGTGTTTTGACCTCCGTGTGTCAGTGCGTGTGTGCGTGCATCCGGACCTGTATCTTAAAAATGCCTGGACCAATCACAATAAAACTTCACACATACATCATACATGATATTATACATATGCACGTCAACTTGTTTCACGATCTGATTCAAGATGGCTGAATGGCGGCCATTTTTGTGCTAAAAATCATAAAAATCAAGCATTTCTCTGCTGTTTACAGATGGATTTTGTTCAAAATTGGTATATGCGTTAGACATTATAGGACCTTGATGTAAATAATTTTGTTTTTTTCAGATTAGATTCAAAAAGCCGACTGGTGGCCATTTTTTTTTAATGAATGTGGTTCTCATGCCATATGTCTGCCATGCTTTCACTGATTATGTTCAAATTTTAAATACTCATACATCATGTCATAGATAGACAGATACAGTACTCATTCCGCCCAACCTCCCGCTTTTATCGCTTTTTTTCCGACCGCTTATCGCTTAATTTCCGACCGCTCGCTGCTTTCCGACCGGAAACCGACCGCTTTTTTTCCGCTCGCTCGCGTTCGCTTTTGTTCGCTCGCTCGCTCGCTTTTGTTCGCTCGTTCGCTCGCTCGCTCGCTTTTGTTCGCTCGCTCACTCCTGCTGGCTTCAGAAACATCGTCCGCTTGCCAGCCGACCGCTGGAGTAACAATGATCGTACATTGTATGTATAAACTTAAGTTTTTATTCGTAATAAATTTAGGTTTTAATGACGATTCAAAACACAACGCCTATTGCTTCTCTGTTTTGGAACAAAGACGCCTTCAAATCACTTGACACATTGTAACGTTTGCTACGCAAGTCGAACTGTGACCTGTATTTACATATTTACGTCCTTGTGTGTGTAGTTCAAGCAGCTATATAACTGGTCAATCGCGATATGTATTGAGTACTAGTGTTTGTGCGTTGTGTGTGTGTTTCTGTGTGTGATTTTGACTAAATTTATTCCGAACGGCGCTCAAAATAATTTGACACTTTGTTATTTTTGAACGCAACTCGCACTATGACCCTTACTCAATTTGCATAAGTAATACGAATGCTGTAGTTCAGAAAATCTATTGGTTAACTTTTGCTCGTGTCTGGGTGCGCAAAACAAAACTGCACATATAATTATCGCATAGCTGA